CAAAGAGAAAGGAAAACTTGAAATCTCATCATATGACCCCTTTAAATGGCACACGTCAGAAGAGCAGCAGAAAATCAACAGTGACAATCATTTGTTGTGTGCTGTTGTGCATAGCCTGAGATTGAAGAGAACATTATTAAAGCAATCAAGCTGACACAGCTTAAAAAATAAAGCATCTTAATGACGAGATCAAAATACTGTCTAATAAATACGGAATACAGTGGAATAAAAAAACAGGAGAAAGCAGCACGCTTCCAGTTTCTGCCGGGCGCCTGCCGTGGCACACAGGGATGGACTCTTTCTCGCCTAGGTGGCATCTTAAAACAAGCATTACCATGTTTGAGGTGAGGTTGCCATGGATACCGTCCAGCATATGAGGTGAGGTCACTTCCTCCGGCGGCATCATGCGATTGGCTCAAACATCTCTGGACGTTTGACGGCTCGAGTTAGTGTGAGTCCATCGGCTGGGATGCTGGTCACCAGTGATATGGTGAATACTATCTATCCGCTGCATGACGGGGACGTGACGTCAGATCCCGTTGGTCAGGTCCCGGATGACGCCCCCCTTCACCAGCTTTCGGAGAAACTCTTTCTCTTTGGATATGTTGTGCGTCCATGACTGGGTGTGTGTGAGAGAAAGAGAGAAACAGAAAGAGCACAATAGGGTAAACGCTCATCAGAAGCTGGTCACGTGCTGTGTTTAAAAGAGCTATGACGTCTGCACATGCGGCTTTGCTTTTGATTTCACAAGCCACAAAAGCGGTTCGGACGGTCCACCTAAAGTAAACATGTGCAACAACAGAGGTGCTCTTCTAGTTAAAGAGAGAAAATGACAAGTCACTGTGAAATACAGTGCCATCTACTGATTTACCATCCAAGTTGAATCATCCTTTAGATAAAACATAAAATGTATCTTCTAATTACAAAACAAAAAACAAACATGAAATAGGTCAGTTTCACACAACACTTTGGGTAAGTATTTTACGTTGCATCATAAAAGCCAACATTCAATTCTAAATTCAAAATCTATTATCGCATTACACATCTGTTTGGACCTGAAGTATTGTTATACTGATGAGAAATTTTATTTGAATATATTATTGTACAAGAACATATAATCTGAGGAATACCAGTATTACCCCTATCGGAATTAATGGAATTTAATTAAATTCCTTTGAATTTAACTCATGATTGCTCAAAACAGTCCATATTTATCAAACATACATATTTACTAGCAATAAATAAATAAATAAACAAATACATTTAATTGCATACATTTTCATTTTCAGAATAAAAAAGTGGTCAATTTTTCATGCAGGAATGGTTTGTAAATAGGTGTACATATTCATGTTTAAAAACTAAATTCAGCTCCAAAACTGTGTGAGATATTGATAAAAAGGCTACATATATTTTACAATATTTTTGTGACACTAACATAACTTATAGATGCTTTTACAAAAATATTTTTAACACCTAATGGTACGCCATACACACTCGGGTCCAAAGTGACCCGAATATTTTTTTAATGGTTTTCTCTCTTAAAAAAAAAAATCAAGAACAAACTCAGAAAATAAATAAATAAAATGAAATAAAAATATGGGTATACTGAGGGTCTTTAAGCATTTGTAAGTTTCATTCCCTTACTAAATATGTATCTCTTCCAGGTCAAAATGGATCGAATGCATTATGAGGGTTAAAGGTTTGATTTTCTGTGATGTACTGAACATTCCTGAATTGAACTCATTTTATAGTTGATGAACTACTGTCTTTAAAAGCTGCTTTAGAGCAGAATCTTATTTTGCTTCATTTTTGAAGTTTGCATCACTGATTCTGTTACTTCCCTGTTTAATACTGTGAAGCTGTTTTGAAGAAAACCATCTATATTGTATGAAGTGCTATAGAAATAAAGCTGACTTGACATTGTTTTTGCATATTCTGCTGATTTGTCATCAATATAATCTTTTTTTAAAAAATCTCGACACACACACACACAAAGGAACTACTGGCCTGACTAAGCCATCAGAAATAAATCCTTATTGTTGAACCCTGTTAGTATCTTGTAGTATCTGACTGCTTCACTTTACTAGTAGCTTGGCAAAGCTACAGTCTCAAAGTAGTTTCCTCAACACTGAAAGAAGAACGCACACAGAGCTCAGACTCATTACTCTGACCTCTCAGGTTTCTGCATGTTCCTGGAACAGAGAGCAGTGTGAGGTCATGTGACCTGTTTGTGGACGTGACTCAATGGACGGGATATTCCCAAAGATCATCAACCAGCGAGCGGACATCACGGATGTACTTCAGACACATTTTCAAATTTACATTTACACTACACTCATCTTACATACCAAAACTAGGACATTTCTGTTAACTATGATAAGACAGTGTTCAGAAATTAATCAGGTTTCAGAGCAAAAAAGCCCCTGAAAGTGACAAAAATCCTCCAGATATTTAAAATATGACAGTGAATTTCTCTGTCATTATCTGCTATCAAACATGTCATACAAACAAAATAAAGATTCTCCATGGAACCTTTCAATTTGCACAAAAGGTTATTTAGAGTGGAAAAAAGGTCCTTCACAATATTAAAATGTTCTTCACACGAAGAAAAGATGGTTCACTGAAAGGTCCTTTGGCAAACAAAAAATGGTTCTATGGCATCACTGTGAAAATATCCTTTTAATTCAAAGAGTGTTATATGTAATAATGGTGTTCAATGGTAAAAATGAAAATCAATCCCAGGGGCCAAACATTCCTTTTAAATGCAGCTCACTAGTTCTGTAAGAGTTAGAGAGAAATCCTTCAGATCAGGTCAGTGTGGTGCTCTTACCTCTTTGATTGCAGACATCATGAGTTTCTCATAGTAGTGCAGAGGTGCGTGAGGTGTGTTCATGTCATATCCGAATCCGGCCACCGCCACCTCATCACAGCTATGAAGAGCCATCGTTATCGCAACAGTCCCCAATGTAGGAATATTCTGGAAAAACAAAACGCTTTTAGTACTGCATGTCGATAAGTGTTCCGTCACAGCGTATAAAATACCCAACAGTCATACTTGAGTATGTAGTTAAAGACACATTCATAGAACCTCAAGTTTAAGAAAATAAAAAATAAAAGTTTTTGGTTATTACTGCAAATGGTCTTTTAAGAAAATGTTTTATGGAAAACATTACATTTATATGTGAAAAATAATAGAATTTCGGTATTTAAAAATAGTAAATAAGAAACAAAAATGTGCTTAATATAAACTAATCTACTTTTATTTGATATACAAAACAAACATTTTTATAAACACACATATATACAGGGCCGTCCTTAGGGGGGTGCAACTGGTGAAAATTTTAAGTAATAACCAGAAATCCAAATGTTCAACGATTCACTGAAAAGAACTGTCTTAAAAGAATGATACATTTAAAAATCAGTCATCTCTATAACACATGTAGTTTGTATTTACAATATTGTTTGCACAAAAGCAATGCAACAAAGTATTCAACTGCAAAATGTCTGCTTGAACATGAAATACATTTGTACTCAAGTAGTCATTTTCTTTTAGTAATAAAACAAGTTTTAATTCATTACTATATGCTTTAATTCATACTACACAGCACAGTGAAAAGAACAGATGAAATGAGTCGAGCAAATGTTGAACAGCCATGGATGGACTGGACACTCAGGGTAGTCGAGTGCACTGCTCACACACTTCAGTACAGATAATGCACCGTGTGACTGACTTTATCAGAGACACAGACAGAGCGGGGTGTGTGTGTGTGTGTGTGTGTGTATCAGCAGAGAGGGATCATCCAGTCACCACCTGATCCACTGAGGCTGGAGAGACAAGTCTCAATGTGAAAGTCTTATCACCACAGAGAGACACTCTCTGGACTAATCCGGCCCCAGACACTCCGCCTGCATGCTGATAACAGGAAACGCATCACAGCTTGAGCCCCTCGAATCGCATCTCCATAGCAGCAGAGCGCAAACAGTCTCTGGATCAGGTGGATATGTGACAGTCCAACACTTCATTTCAACTTCATCTCAGAGGGCTCAACAATAAGGATGACCCACTGACCCGGGGCCAGTGTGCGAGAGTTTAGGATCATTTCAGTACATTTTGATCATGTACATAAATAGATTTATTTATTTATTGTTTTTGTTTGTTTGCTTGTTCGTCAGTCTGTATACTTTTAGGGAAAATCATCTGAAAAGTATCTATCTGGCTATCATAGATGAGTGACTTCTTGTGCAATGGTAAAGAGGTCAAAAATACAAGTATATTAATAATAATTCTCCCTCTCTCTCTCTCTCTATATATATATATATATACACATATATATTTTTTAAGATATGTCAGAGTAAGATATTTTCAGTTGAGACATCTCACACATGCATTTTAGTCTGGGACTAGCCTTAAGCCTGGTCTGTGAAACCAGGGGAGTATGTGTGTGTGTGTATATTTTAAGCACATTTTTATTCTATAATAATTTTTAAATACACGTTTGTACATTTTTCACATATGCAAATGTTATGCTTGTTTTCATAAAATATTTTGTTAAAAGCCAATTTGCAGTAACAATCAGAAAATATACGGTTACAGTGAATCAGTCTTGTAAATGAATCAGATCATTTACAGATTCGTAAATAAAACAGAGACTGGGCTAATTTGAATACGAAAAGTTCTTAGTTCCTAAGACATAGGCTGTGTTTATGCAACTGGCCTCTGGTCTTTTTCAAAGAGGAGAAAGTTTTAAAAGTTTTTCAGACTATTACGGTATGTTTTGGATTGACTGCTTCAATATTTATTCAGTGTTTGCTCCTCACCCCTCTTCCCATGAGGCCATTGTTGTTTGGAAGGCCGATGAATTTGAAGGCCGCTTCCTGGATGAAATACGGGTTCAGGATTCGTATGTCTTCTGGCTCTCTGGGAACGACACGTGCCACGGACTTCCAGAATCCCTCCATACTCCGCTGAAAGACATTAAGAGCGGAACACAGAAGAAACTGAATTACTCCAAGAAACAAATGAAAAGAATAAACCTGCGTGACTTCGCCGACGGCCTTTACCAGCTTTTCTTTTCAAACACTCCTGCTCTGTGAATACGCTATTATAAACGCAGAAAGGTGTTCCACAAGTGAAGCTGACACAGAACAGTCACTCGCGGCCGCTGAATAACGCTCTCAGCTGAGTAAATAAGCCGCTCACTTTGATAATCAGAATAAAAAGGGTGACGCTAGCAAAGCGTTGAAGGCAAGAGCGTGTCCGAACACAGAGCTCTCGCTCTCCTCGTGAGACGCCCGCTTCACCTGCAGCTAATATGAAGGACCTTACGAACACACCTGGGAGAGAGTGACTGTTAGAAGCCATAACTCCGCTTGACATTTTAGAGCAACGACTCCGGTGGGATTTCATCAAACGGCATGCCGAGTCACGGTACTACAAATAAACACGCTGCGTAATTACGTCCTGCCCTTGTTTTCTTTTCAAGGGAGGGACAGGCTTTACAGAGGGACGCACAACAAGGGTTTGGCACAGGGAGCCTTACTTGTGGTTTTCTGGTGTAACACAAAGCATGTGTGATACAAGGTGTAATACAAACCACGTGTGTCGCGGCATAACATTATCACAGCTATCAGTCACATCAGCCTTGTTTGAGACGTGCACAAACTCCTCCCTTATAACTAACCAAATGCTATCGATGTGGTTTGACCTTTTTTGAACGTTTTTAGCTTTTTACATTATAATTTGTGTCAGGTTTGTTATTTTGCAGAGTAAGTCCTAGCGTTCTAGCGTACTGATAGAGCATTGCATATGCTACTGAATACACATTTCCAAGAATTTAATTTTAATCAGATTTCATACCATAAACAATAGCTGGCGCTTAAAAGTTTACGACAGTACGTTTTTTCATGTTTCATGAAATCTCTTACGCTTATCAAGGCTGCATTTATTTGCATCAAAAATACAGCAAAATTGTTAAATAGTATTACAATTAAAAACAACCATTTTCTATTTGAAAATATTTGAAAATGTCATTTATTTCTGTGATCAAAGCTGAATTTTCAGCATCAGTTCTCCAGTCTTCTGTGTCACACGATCTTCAGAAATCATTCTAATATGCTGATTTGCTGCTCAAGAAACATTTCGGATTATTATCAATGTTGAAAACAGTTGTGCTGCTTTATATTTCTGTGGATTTTTTGATGAATAGAAAGTTCAAAAGAACAGCATTTATATGAAATTCAAATGTTTTGTAACATTATTAATGTCTTTAAAGTCATTTTTGAGAACTTTAATGTGTCCTTGCTGAATAAAAGTATTAATTTCTTTAAAAAATCTTACTGATCACAAACTTTTGTCATGCATTCCTTTTTTAAGTCTTAAAAAGCACAGCAACATTCAGAAGTGGCTACATAAACGTCATCACTATCTCGAGGCCTGGCCAGCATTACTAAGGATGCAGAAAGCAGGTGCAGGTAAAATCCTGACATATTTTGAGCGAGCACTGAAGCAGAGGTGCTGGACTCGTAGGGTGAGAGTCAGAAACACACAGGTGGAAAATGTGACATGGCTCGGGCAGAGAGAGATGAACACAATAACCTGCACCGTGGAGAGGAGAGGGGCCTTTTAAAAGCCCCATGAAAAACAAGAAGCGCAAACAAAGCCACAAAGGCAAGGAAGACCCTGTATCAATCACCCTGTGGCAGGATCCACCTCCTACATCGCACGAGGCCTTTGTACGCAGAGTTTCTCTGATACCTGTCACCCAGCTGCTTGAAACAGACCTGCAGAAGAGCTGACTAATGATTACGAACTCTGAACTCTGGCTGATGTATGTCTGCCGATGCGTCCAAATGGCTCATCGTACTGTATTACAGACACGGTCACTCAACACTGCCGTAGCAACAAGCGGAAAACTAATCTGACCACACTGCTGAATGTACAGCACTACGGCATAACAAGCTAGATTTTGGCTGAAATGTGAGCTCACGATACACAATGAAACTGAGACAAATAGATGAATATAAAAATAAAAATACTACAAAATATATATCTTAAAATAATTAAGAATCAACAAATAAGATTTAAATGTAAGAAAATTTTTTCTAAAAATCATGATCACCCAATTTTTTCAGCAAACTTAGTTCTGGAAATATTTTTCCAAATTATATGAGATTTAAAAAGAATTCTTCAATAGATTTCTAAAGATGAGCATTTACGCATATCCAAAGACACTTACACAGGAACCAGATCAAAATATAAATAAAACTAAACAATGTTACAATAATCCCAGTAAATGCTAAAATATGCATTTATAACAAAATACTTAATACATTTCTAGAATAAATAAAAAAAAAATTAAAAGAAAGAAAGAAAGAAAGAAAGAAAGAAAGAAAGAAAGAAAGAAAAAGAAAGAAAGAAAAAGAAAGAAAGAAAGACAAAATACTTAATACATTTCTAGAATAAATTAAAAAAAAATTAAAAGAAAGAAAGAAAGAAAGAAAGAAAGAAAAAGAAAGAAAGAAAATATTTATCCCCAATTTATTCAGTCATTTACTATAAGTAGAGATGAAATTAGGGCTCTTTTAAATTTTATTATAAAGTCTTAATTAAGGGATAAAATGTACAGTCCATCATTATAACTAACTAAATAAATAAATGCACAAAATAGATATTTAACTTGCAATGAAGACTGGTTAACTACGTAAATACACAAACAAATGAAATAGATATTTAAATTGCAATAAAGACTGGTTAACTACTGTACATAGATGTGGATGGATGGATGGATGATATTTAATCTTTAATAATAACTGGTTGAATGAGTGAATAAATAATGCATTTATTAACAGTATGTTTTCATTGCAATGAAAAGGCAAAGTACAAAAAGAAAGTTGAATAATTTATTTCAATTGATGAAATCATAAACCCTTTGTCAACAAGCAATTTTGTCCCTGACAACATAAACACTGGTCTTGAAGCTCATTGTATAGGTTTGTCTTGAAACAAGCATATGTTTGTCATCTTTAAAACTTAAAAAATGACAAAATGAATGACATCTGCCTTCCGGAAAACCTTCCGTTGCAAAAGTAAAACTTGCGATTAATCTACTCAAGCACATGAATCTCTAAATAAATTGAAAAAGACATTGAAGTTGAATCAACATAACGAGTCAGTCACTGACTGAACTTTTAGTGATTCACTTACTGAATCACAAGTCATTACTTTCGGTCATATCTGATGTGCACATCCACACACATACTTTCTCTGATGGGTAATTCCCAAACCTCTTAGTTTTTGGCTAAAAGAGTTCCTGACACATTTCTGCGTGATGATGTTAGGCTGTAACCTGTGGGCGTGGATCGGGCCCTGTGTTTCCCTGCGCTGGAAGCCACTGCGGCTCATTCACTACAATGGCCGCTCTCAGTCGCTCTGACACTCTGGAGGTGCGAGTCGCAGACGTTATCACAGAATCCATCAGTTTCCAGCGGGCTGACACACACTGTGGTATTCATAAACCACTGTGGTTTTCTGCAGCCGTCTGTGGAGTAGTAGGGGCCGCTGACCCTGACATTGACCCCCAGCCCTCTGTCTGCACATGTCTGAGTCACCAGAATCTGAGGACACTTGACACTCATAAACACCATTGTATTGCAGTGTGTAAGCTGAAGATGTCATACAAAGCATCTAATGATTCATAAGACATGAGCTCTGTTCCGAACCATAGCGAGCTGCCTACCAAGACAGCATGCTCAGTATCACAGGAATGGTCCGGATCAGACCGCTGACAGAAAATAGGAGATCACCAGAGACTTCAGAAAAGAAGGATCCACTAAATAGCTTTCAAATTGAGTTTGTTGGGTCAAACATTTAGAGTCTCATTGTATCTTCTTGAGTTGAATTAAATCTCATTCTTTCTCTAAATCATTCTTTCTAAATGTTCTCAAATCATTGCAAACCTTCTTAAACATTCTTTAATTATCTCAAACATTCTTGAATGTTCCCAAAGTTGTTACATCAAATCATCTTAGTCAAATGAAATCATCTTTTCAAATGAAGTCACTTCATGTAAAAAAAAGTTCTTGCAATGTCCCTTCTCAGGTCACATATCAGATCTTAATTTGAGAACAGTTAGAGAAGAAGAATAGATTACAGATTTTTTTTCTCAAATCTTCTTAAAGGAACACGCCATTATTTTTGAAAATAGGCTCATTTTCCAACTCCCCTAGAGTTAAACAGTTGAGTTTTACCGTTTTCGAATCCATTCAGCCGATCTCCGGGTCTGGCGTTAGCACTTTTAGCTGCAGCTTAGCATAGATCATTGAATCTGATTAGACCGTTAGCATCTCGCTAGCTGGGGACTATTTTCAGGCGCTGTGTAATATCATTGTGCCTGCTGCATCCATGGTACGGCAGCAAAGTTCCTTGATTATTACGCCGGAATGAGAGTATAGTTCCTAGCCATATCGGCCTAGAAAATCACAACTTTTCATTTTCCGTCGGTCTTAGTACACGATGTAACTACAGAAGAGTCAAGTTTTAAATAGGAAAAATATCGAAACTCTTTGGTCATTTTTGAGCGAGATGCTAACGGTCTAATCGGATTCAATGATCTATGCTAAGCTACAGCTAAAAGTGCTAACGCCAGACCCAGAGATCGGCTGAATGGATTCGAAAACTGTAAAACTCAACTGTTTAACTCTAGGGGAGTTGGAAAATGAGCCTATTTTCAAAAATAGTGGCGTGTTCCTTTAAATGTTCTTAAATTTGAGTCGCACCAAATCATCTTAGTCAAATCTTGTTTTCAAATTCAATCATCTTCTTGTGAAATGTCCTTACAATGTTTTCCCTCTTCTTTTGAGTAAAATTTTCTGTAATCTCTTCTTCTTAAAATGTTCTCAAATGATCTCAAACCATCTCAAATGGCCTCAAATTTGAGTCACATCAAATCATCTTAGTCAAATTAAATCTGTTGATTAATCATTTTTTAAATCATCTTGTGAAATGTTCTAAAATGTGTTAGTCAAATGAAATATTTTCAAATGTAAACATTTTCCTAATCTTCTTGTGAAATATTCTTGCAACATTCCTTCTCTACTTGAGTAAAATCAAATCTTCTCAAATTTACTATCATCACTTCTTAAATGTTCTCAAACCATTTTCAATTACCTCAAATTTAAGTCACATCAAATCTCAAGTATTCTCTAATCTGCTGTTAAATGTTCTTAAATTTTCTCGGTTCTTCTACAATGGTCTCAAAAAGATCTCAAACCTTCTTGAATGATCTCAAAGTATCTCACAACTTCCTGAATGTTCTCAAATTTGATTTGCATCAAATCATCTTAGCCAAATTAAATATGATCTAATCTTTTCTCCTTTAGTTTTTTAATCTTCTCTTCTAAAATGTTCTTTCAGTGTTCCTTCTCTTCTCTTTTGCAATTAGTCATCCAAAGCAGCTCGACGTGACTCACTGCACCAACAGTGGAAACAACAGCAGCTAGTTTATTGACCCCTTGTCCACCTGCTCATGTTTGCCTTTCTATTTGGCTGTGTTTGAAGCTGATTTCAAAGAGGAGACAAAAGCAGAGGACAGCGACGACCCGTCCACAGCTAGGACAGCTGACACGTCCAAAACCTGGCCTAACATCTCACATATGGTGGCATTAGTCTAAACTGGCTGAGCTAAAACTGCCGATGATTTAGCGGTTTTGACGCATCATTTACGACAAGACATCTTGGCCGCTCTTTTGCTTTCAGAAGACATAGCTGCCATTTAATTCCAAATCAACTGAGATTCAAGTAATGAGAGCATTTCTGCGTCAAAGAATCACAAGCGAAGACTACGGCCAATAAACACACACAACGGAAAAACATCTACTTCATCTCTGACCTCCCAATTATCCTCATCAGTATTCCTGTCTGAATGTTTTGAACGGAAGAATATTTACTAGACAGTCTGCACACTTCAAAACCTTCACCGAATTAACACGTTCCGCTTAATTTCACGTGTAAATTAGAGCCGTGATTGTAGCATGCAGTAGGACGTGAATGAATGTCTCACATGGACGGGTCAGTGACGGATAATGCTCTCAAAGTGGAAGAGACATTTTAACTGAAAACAATTATCTGAAGAATTTATTTGACTGGTCTTTCCTGCAAAGTTTTTCGGTTTAAGTTTGTTTATCATTACACAAAATTATACATAAATTCGACTTAAATTGGTTCATTTATTGTTCAGTTTGTTCAGTAAATGACTGTTTTGGCAGTAAACGGTAATGGATCTATTTAAAACGCACGCTATGGCTTGAAACTATTTTTTCCCCCCTCCAGAGTAAGCTGTATTTGAAGAGAATGAAACATAAAACCTTTTTAAGACTTTTAGAAGCAAATTAAAGAGTTTAAGACTAACTAAAATATACTAGTCATGTTTTCCACTAAATACTCAAAAACTGAACATGCTAAACATTTCCAACAAAACATCATAGTTACTGTAGTATATTCATGTACAACCATAACTGATGAATATTTCATCTACAGCTTTCTTTACAATGCCACCTGAAGCAGCATTTACTGTGTACTGTGTCTGTAAAAATAGCCATTTAAACACTTTTAATGCAGTGGCTCACTATACTGCTCAAAGGTTTGGGGTCAATCAAACTTTTTTTTTAAATAAATGAATACTTTTATTCAGCAAGGATGCATTAAATTGATCAAAAGTGACATTTGTAATGTTACAAAAGATTTCTATTTCAAATAAATGCTGTTCTTTGGAATGTTTATTCATCAAAGAATACAGAAAAAAGTTACTTTGAAAATGTAACTTTTTTTAAATTCTTTTTTATGATCCCTCCACCCAAGAACACTTACTGTATGTCCCAGATCCAAGACATTAATTTGTTTCTTCTCTGAATCTACAATTCTCTCTTAGTCCTAATGGCTTTTCGGCTGGCGGTGGGAATTCTAATGGAGCAGTATATAGAAGGCAGAAGAAACATTATCAGTGTTTTTAGAAAGAGAAAGACTCAAGGGAAACAGTGCTGTATAGAGTATTTCTAAAGACATATCAACAAATCTCAGCCACTAACCTTATCAGGATACAGTCAGACACCGAATTAATCTTCCACTACCTGTGTGTGGCCATTATGTGGTTTGCTATGCATAAATCTCTACAACGAGACTGACTTTACAAGCCATTTTCTTTAAAAGTAGTTCAGAAAGATCACTGGAGATAAATTTGTTACATGTGTGACATTTGATTTTGAATCAGGGAGTCAAAATCTGATTCAAAACCAAAACATTGCTTACTACACAATATCTACTCTGGCTTGCAAAAAACAAATACAAAATAAATTAAAATAAATAATAATAATAATCATTATTATTATGATACAGAGTCACTGAAAATTATCCAGCGCTAAAAGTGTGGCAACAGAAATATTACAAGTAACTCCTCACGACCAGTTACACACCGGTGACTTTTATTAGAGCGCTGTGACCTGGGGATCCAAATAATGCGGAAACGTCCTTGAGCTGAGTGAACTAGAGTCAGCTTTCATCATGGAAGAAGGTCCTCTAACAGAAGAGAGGCCAGATGTGTGGGCCATTTTCATTAGCATTCTGGAGATAACACAGAGAACGAGCTGCTTGACTAAACCCAAACCCGGGAGATAAGGTGGCCGTTCTCCAGCCCGTACCACACAATTAAGCACATCACTGAGCTCCTGTCAGTCACCTGAGGAAACGCTACACTGGCTGACTCACAAAGACATCGGCCTCGCACACAGCTGCATATCAAAGACACGGCAAACACAAAGCCCACATGCATCTCTACAACATTCACCGCAATGCCAATGCAGTTTCATAGGTACCTGTGGTGACAAACCTCTGTCCCATATTTCTTAAACAGAACTTTAAAAGTGGTCAGCTTTTGACTCAGATATTTGATTCAGCAATGTCTTGAAACACTCACTGACCTTGCACATCTGTTTTTACCTTGAAAACCCCCTTGAAAACTTTTACCCCTTGAAAACTTTTTTTAATGCAAATTCTGCTGATTTGTCACCAATATGTAACCCTGGAGCACAAAACCAGTCTTAAGTCGCTGGGGTATATTTGTAGCAATAGCCAACAATACATTGTATGGGTCAAAATGACTGATTTTGCTTTTATGCCAAAAATCATTAGGATATTAAGTAAAGATCATGCTCCATGAAGATATTTTGTAAATTTCCTACTGTAAATATATTAAAACTTAATTTTTGATTAGTAACATGCATTGCTAAGAACTTAATTTGGACAACTTTAAAGGCGATTTTCTCAATATTTAGATTTTTTTTTGCACGCTCAGATTCCAGATTTTCAAATAGTTGTATCTTGGCCAAATATTGTCCTATCCTAACAAACCATACATCAATGGAAAGCTTATTCATTCCACTTTCAGATGATGTATAAATCCCAATTTCGAAAAATTTACCCTTATGACTGGTTTTGTGGTGCAGGGTCACATGTAATAATATCTAGTTTTCTAAAACAGATCAAAACTGCAAAAATGATTTGAAAGCATCAGTAAAAATGTGTTGAAACACAAAAAACGACTGTTTTCCAGCAAAAGTGTTTGATATTTATGTTTACATTATAGCGGTTTTGTAATAAAAAAAAAATCTATGAAAATAGTTAAGAACATAGCTTATTTCTAAAATGTCTTAAAAATACATTTTTGACCCTAGGCATTCATATTTAATATTATTGTTCAGAGCACACACTATGCTGCCCCCTACTGGTAAATGTGTACATCAGCAAATACTCTTTCTAAACCCTCTTTTTAAACAGCTTGACTGATTTACTATCAGCAGACATTTTCTTTAGCATTTCCTGTGCTGATTTTAAAGGAAATAATAACATTAAACATAAAAAACAGAGCTGAGAATACTGCATTCCTATTGCTGGATACAAATAAAATCAAATTAGCCCACAAAACATTAAAACATTTATTAAAAAAAAAAAAAAAAAAAAAAAAAAAAAAAAAAAAAAATACAACTTATACTACAGGAGAAAATGACAAAACATGATTATAGAAACTGATCAGCTTACAGCATCAAAAGTTCAGAGAATGATTTTTTTTTTAATATATGAGATATGGTTCATCATTTAATAAACAAATTAGCAGTGAGTGAGATTGTGTTTTGGTGATTATGTGGACGTTAATTACCTGTCCAGTTCTGAACCAAGTGAATATCTCTTTGTAGCTTGTAAAATATGATCAATTATCTTTTCTGTGGACAGAGAAAATTCAATTATTACTTATTTAGAGAGATAAACTACATTAAAACACACCAGAGCCTGAACAAAGGTCTGAACAAAACAGCTTTTGATTTTCTAACAGAAATAACTAAACTGTGACATTATAGTTAGCTAAAGATTACAGTTACTCAGTTCATGCTCTGATGAGCTGTTTGCAAACTACAGTGCATTGAGGCATCTACACTGACTAATATTACAAAATTAGTCATACTGCCCACTCATTCCTCGTGACCACAATTAGCATATTATGTTTATGCAGCATGATTTGGGTCACAGTTATACTAATTGTACATAATATTTAGGATGGAAGATCTCTGTGAATTATGCATGACTGTTGGATTGAATTAAAGTAATAGTTCACCCAAAATTAAACATTTGATGAAAATTGACTTGCCCTCAGTCCATTCAAGATGTAAATGAGTTCATTTCTTCACAGGAACAGATTTGGAGAAATGTAGCATTGCATCTCTTGCTCACCAATGGATCCTCTGCAGTGAATGGGTGCCGTCAGAATGAGAGTACAAACAGCTGATAAAAACATCACAATAATCCACAAGTAATCCACACCACTCCAGTCCATCAGCTGTGTTTTAAAAAAAAATTATCAGGAGAGAAATATGCACAGATCAAACACTGTTTAGGGAAATGCAAGACGGTTTAAAACATTTCTTACAAACACACAACCTTTGGTTTCACAAGACGTTAACTGATGGACTGTAGTGGTGTGGATTACTTGTGGATTATTGTGATGTTTTTATCAGCTGTTTGGACTCTCATTCTGACGGCACACATTCACTGCAGAGGATCCATTGCTGAGCAAGTGATGCAATGCTACATTTCTCCAAATCTGTTCCCACGAATGAACAAACAAACCCATTAACATTTTAGACGGCACAAGGGTGAGCAAATTTTCAGCAATTTTTTTTTTTGGATAGGGGACATTTCTAAAGCAGCCCGCTGCCAACAATGCTGTAGCCTCCTGGGAAAGAACCTACATCACAGCTTCAAACACACTCAAGAATGAGGAAAAAACCTAAGTTTAGAACACCCTTTTTCTTACGCACAATCCACTATGCTATTTTTAGTAAAACATTCCACCGAAAGGCATTCCACTGGAGAAAAAGCTCTTTATGCTAAAGATAATAAAACAGGATTTGTATGTAAACTCCACAACAACAAAATCAGTGATCTGCGTCACTTTTGGTCCATTTTATAGTCTGTCTGCTAATAAATGTGATACAAGGACAAGTGTTTCTGCTGAAAGGCACGGCTTGAGAAACATCAGCGGGATGGATGCAGAGATGCCGACAGCTCTGCTCTTAATGTCCCAGACCATCTGCCAAAACAGCTAAACGGAGTCAGAGCGGAACTCATCACTTAACATGCACATTTGTGATTTAATCAGGCTGGAAGGTAATTACACCCAAAACCTCCAGGGCAGGCATGAATGAAGGTGAGTGGAAAGGAGAAATGCCTCATGTTTCTGGTTTAAACGTCTGAAAGCACACCGGATGAAAGAACCACTGAAAACCTGATTGAATCGAGGCCACGGGGAAACGGCTTCCACCTTACCTGCAGGAGCCCTTGGTGACTGGTTAAGTGGACATTAGTTTAACATCTACCTAATATTTATTTTTTCTCATTTGTAAGTCATATGTAAACTTTAATAATCTTTGCAAAAACTCTGGCGTATCCTTATATTTCTTGGTGTTTGCTGCTAATCTTTGCACATATACTATCAGTCAAAAGTGTGGAATCATTCAGATTTTTTTTAATGTTTTAGAAACAAGTCTTTTATGCTTTTATTGCAGAAACCATGATACCTTACCATTCAAAAGTTTGGGGTAAGTAAGAAAGAAATTAGGTAACACTTTAGTATAAAGACCAATTCTCACTATTAACTAGTTGCTTATTAGCAGGCCTATTATTACCATATTGGCTGTTAAGTTTTGCCTCTTTGTCGCCATCACTGTTTGAGGGGGCCGGGAGCAGCAGCTCATTTGCATTTAAAGACACAGGCCCGAAAAACGACGTGTTTCTGCTTCCACTCAAAATAATTTACAAATCTTAATTATTCCAAACATTTGACCAGTAGTGTATAATATAACAGAAAATAAAAATAATGAATGCGCAGAATGAATGCTTGGACTGACAATGTTTTTTCAGTGTTAAACAAAGAAAATATCTGAATTCTTAAGATGCACTTTTTGCCTCAATAATGGACCCTTGATGAAGTACAACATGACTTACTTTCATATAATCATGGACACCTGAAAATGTGTAATATTTGTGGGAAAACATCTGTGAGGAGAAGAATTGTGAAAATACAAATGTACAACAATCATTGAGATTCCTATCCGACCGGCATTAGATTACTCAGAGGACCACTGACTGAACAACAGATTGCGATTTCCTTTGTGATTTGTACAGCGGTTGTGTGAGAAAAACACAGGCGTTTGAAATTACAAAGCACGTCTTGCGAAACACTAATTTACTTGACCTCCTCAGGGAGAACTAGGCCCGTCTGAATCAAGTGTGTGAGTTATGATTGTTCTTTTGTTTACACATGATACAATGTCAACATGTTTAACTGGATCATCTGTTAATGAAACCAACAGCGCTGAAAATCGGGAAAAAAATAAAAACCCCGGAAAATACCTCCAACTCAGAGGTACTTTTACCAGTGTACAGAGAAGAGGTTCTTAAACTTTTAAATACGAAGAAGACAAAAATCACTTGATTGATTGAGGGCTGGGAACAAAAAGTAAACGGTGCACTATATCTAACTATATTATATATCTTCAATTCATATATAGTTTTGTTTTTCACATCTCAATGCAAACACAATTTTTTCCCTCCTCTTGTGAAATAAAACAGACTCAGAAAGAAAGAAATACCTTGTGTTCTTACTCCAAACGGAGGCGGGTAACTGCTGATCTTTGATAGCCGCTTGAAATTTGAATCAAGGAACATGGGGGCAGGTTTTGAAAACCTAAAACAATAAATAAAAGACAAAGAGAGAAAACACAAGTTAAAACAAGCACGCTAATCGCTCCACAGCCTGCATGAGAAAAGGGCTGTGATACTTTGATAACCGGTGGAATATCTCAAACGGTGGAATATTTGAAAGGATTACGAGGTTCGCATTGCCCATAATCCACTGGCTACTGGTGTGTTTAAGGAAGTGCAGCCTAAACTTGACCTTTCTTCAAAACAAGCAGAGACTTATAACGAGCTGAGATCACCAAGCTACAAGCTGCTCACTTACAGACATTAGACTACAATCCAACTTCAATAAAGCAATTTAAGGAGGCAAAACCTTTTTTAAATATATAACTGTGAAATGACAATTTATTTTTGCAATCAGAATATTTTTTGGCACAAAAACTAAGGATGCACAGAATTTTTCCACCAAAAATTCTTATCCGAAATTCTATTTTTAGTTTTTTTGGCATTTTTTTTTTAAATGGATAGAAAGCAGCGTGCACTTGAAATGACCTACGTTTAATTAGGCTATACTTAATGCAAATGTGATTGTGAATGATGACAGGTTATATATATTTATAGGAAAGAAGTTGACCTGACTGAATGTATGACTCAGCGATCAAGGAACTGTTTTTCAATTTACATGAATCATCTGAATAAATCGATTCACTAATATGAATTTGATCTTCCAAAGCTACATAGGCTATTTAAGCAATATGACACTAGTTAAAGTGTCATTACACTCGGTATTAGAGTGTCTGCAAGTAATATGACTAGATTCATTGATTATTCTTGCTCTGATGACAATGGGTTACAATGTTGCAAATTCTAGCAATCAAATATAAAACACTTCCATGAAAATGGTTATGCTGCTTGATGACCGAAAATAATCTAGAGTTAGAGTATTTATACTAATTAACTATATTTCTTGGCAGAATTGATAATTATTATTTACAATATTATTTATTGACAAAATATTTATTTTAATATTTTATATTTGTTTTATTATAAATTATTACAAATAGAAAATGTATTTTTATATTAAACATGTATTTATTGTTAAACATTTGTTTGTGACATTATGTAAAATGACAATTGAGAATTAAAATAATTGTAAATAAGAAAATAATCATTTTAAACAATAACTGTGAAACAATTACTGTATTGTTAATACTTAATGAGAGAAAAAAAACCTTCAAGTAAAATGTCCAGATGCATTACAGAAAATGTGCTTAACTGAAAATAAAAAAATTAATAAATAAAAAAATCTTACCACTACTTCCTGGAAAAAGCATGAAACTAGAAAAGCTACACTACTTTAAAATAGCTACAATCATAAATGCTGTGAAGTTAGAAGTTACTTTTAGTTACTCTCCAAAGCTGTTACCTAAGAAAAACAAGAAAAGAGTATAAAAGGAATATATGAAAAACTGCATCATGTGACCAACAGATTATAATAGGTCTTGAGTACTTCTTTAAAAAAATGGCTTTATTGTTTAATGCTATTTAGCACCAACACCTAACATGTTATGCAAACAATTATTAACACTGCCAGTGGAAAAACTCTCCCATTCTGTCCACAAATACCGCCTGGCAAAGCTGTATTTCAAGGAGAAACGCCTTGATTTCTGTCAACATCCTCCACCCAGCGTGCACCTGATACAACTATCCACATCACAAACTATACCGAACATTTGACTGGCTGACAAAACAACACCTGAACACTTCCGTCATGCCGTACGCAGCTGTCCGACCCCTGGAGTAATGCACTAATGACACAGGTGGTCCGGTGTATCCGATTCCCACGACCACAACTGCGACTCTGTGCTTCCTCACATCCCAACACTGTAAGTGAAGGTGACACACACTCCCGCGTTTCTCACTGCCTCAAACCTCCAAACACGTACACTTGTGAGAAAAGTCCAGTGCCGTGAAAAGGTTTTTCCTGTTTTTTCAATTTTTTGCATATTTGTCACACTTAAAAGATTCAGATCATCAAACAAATTTTAATATTACACAAAGCTTTGAATCAAGAAACCACTTAAATAGAACCTGTCTGACAAAGTGAAGCATGCTTAAAGAGCAACACATCATGCCGCGATCTAAAGAAATTCAAGAGCAGATGAGAAACAAAATAGTCGTCATGTATCAGTCTGGTAAGGGTTATAAGGGCCTTTCGCTTCCAGAAAGGGTTATAAGGGCCTTTAGTTCCAGAGCTAAATGTACAGTACTAAAGTACTGGTCCGATTTTGCGCGAACCATTTCCCAGAACCATTTAAAGGGTTGCATTCGCACCGAGAGTGTGTACTAGAAAGTGCCGTAAGCCGGTCGACAGCGACAGCGTCATTTGTGAGCGGAGCTGTGTTTTTGTTGTGTCTCGCAGGTTTCACAATAATGGACATGGAATGTCGACGTATACGTAAAGCGATTGAAAGAACGGAAAGGAGGACTAAGAATCTCCAACGACAACTGGCAGTGCTACATTTGCTACAAGTGCCTGCACTTCAGCGTCTGTCCATCTATCGCTGTTCTCCATACTTGTGAAATAAGTTGACACAATGTTTACAGTATGTTTACACGGCGTTTTAAATCATGGCGGGGGAGGGGGTTTTCGTACGCGTTGGCCAATAAATGTCTACTTACGTCACGATTAGTACCAGTTGTGCTGGTTAGACCCTGCTCCGGAGTAGGAGCTAATTTGGTTCTCGAAAAAGGCAGTCCGGTACTAAAATCGCACCCAGTTTAAAAAAAAAAAAAAAAATTCTTCTTTCATTATCATCCACAGAAGAAAGTCAGTCATACAGGTTTAAAACGACATGAGTAAATGACGACACACTTTGATATGAATGGTGGATAATTTTTGAAGCCATTACAGTAAATTAGTATTTTTCTCAGGCTCCTATGTTCCTCCTTTATGTTCAGTTATTTCACTTTAATGGCAAAGAACCTATTCATTGCCATTAATGTGAAATGACTGAACCTACAAATAGGAGCCTGCATAAAAACGCTCATTTTAGAGGAAAATTTCTTCCTCTTGGTGTGATCATCCTTTGCATTTAAAACAGCTTTTGCCCAGGTGCACATAGTTTTTCAGGTAGCTTTGCAGGTAGGTTCCTTGAAGCATCTTGGAAATATATAATTGGAGACGTGTTTTTGCATTGTGACATTTGTGATTTTATATATATATGTGATTTTTAAACAATTTTGTATCATTACATTATCATAATTTAATGAGAATTACAAAAAAGGGTCAAATGTCCGGACACATTACAGAAAATGTGCTTAATTGCCATGAAAACAATGTCACAATTTTAAAACCTTAATGGTTCTAAAAACAAACTACTATGTATTTTGATTTCTGAATGTGTTTTGACCTGAACCAAGAACCAGAAAACAAATAAGGTCAACACACACTCAAAGGTATGTATGCATCCCACAGTGAAGAATAAAAAATTTAAAAGTGTGATTTTAAAAGGATTCCGATAATATAAGAATTAATAAGATCCATAAACTGTGGTTTATATTAATCTCAGAGGCTCAGGCAGAAATCTTGCGGCTAAAGGAAAGCTTTGCGTGTCAGTCGTGTGAATCAGAAGCATGGGTTTCTCACGCACTGGGAGCCCAGAGGAGCACAACAGACCCAAAAAAAGATCTGCATCATTTCTGATGCCAGTGAGGCGCTCTGTGGACACATTTCTGAAACATGCCTTAAATCAACACATAAGGGATAAAGAGCATTCACGGTGGGGAATCTTCTCAGACACTGAATTATTTAAAAGAGAAAGGAAATGTCTTTCTATGCTCCTCTCAAGAGCATTGCATCCTCACTGTGTAAGGGGTTTAAGACAAACTATACAACACACATGAAGTTATGAACGATTCTACAAAGAAGAAGAACAAGGTCAAGTCTTATGTAGCCAACAAAACTGTGATAACTGTTCTCGTCCTTCCTTTCTACTGTATGTTCTCACTCATAAACAAAAACAGAATAAACCTCCAAAGCTGGTTAAAACTAGTTAAATATTGCATATACCAGTAATAAGATTGTTTTGTGCACTTTCAAGATGATTTCATCTGGTCGATGTATCGGCAACAGTAACCAGCTTGTAAGTCACTGACCAGCAATGCTTGTACAGAACCGATAAAGAAATCTTGTAATTTCTCTTTGTAATCTTGTAAATTCTTTGCACTTTCATGTTCCTGGTCTTAATGAGAATGTTATTCATCTAAATCTCAATTATGTAAATAGCAGCAGAATGAGCTGCGTGTCTGCATGCACATTTACAAATACGAAATTGTGAACTTCCAGTATTTCACAATGCATGATGAGATCAGCTTACTTTGGATAGATTGAAGTCATCTTGGCCTCTGCGTAACCCGGTTTACACTCGCCTTTACTGAGATTACCATATTTATACTGCAGCTCCAGAGGCCTGTGAACCAAAGATAGAAGAAGATCCTTTTCAGTAGTATCCTAGCGGAGTAATCACAGGTGTAGAAAAGCACAGGAATAAATTACATTTTACAATATATTCATACAGAAAACAGTTCTTTTAAATTACAATAACACTTAACAAAATTACTGCTTTACCTGATTTTATGATCAAATAAATGTAGCCGTTTCTTCTCAAAAAGATGAAAAATCTTACCGACCCGAAATTTTTCAACAGTAGTATACCATTAAAAGTCACCTTAAATTATTCTAACCAAACCCAAGTCATTTTGTGAAACATAAAACATGAACAATACAGATTTTGTTCGAAATATGGCTGCAAGTTCAAAGAATTATCCTAATTAATTCTTAAAGGAGACATATTATGCCCCTTTTTACAACATGTAATATAAGTCTCTGGTGTCCCCAGAATGTGTCTGTGAAGTTTCAGCTCAAAATACTACACAGATCATTTATAATAGGATTTTGAAAATGCCTATTTTGAGTGGAAGCAGAAACACGCTGTTTTTTCGGGCCTGTGTCTTTAAATGCAAATGAGCTGCTGCTCCCCGCCCCCTTTTCCAGAATAGAGCTGCGCCATTACAGCTCGGACCTGCTAAAAACATCTCTTTTGGTTCTGATTATCATGTTTATCGCACTGAAATCATGCGTTTTAAACCATATGAGTTTAAACTTCTGCTATACGGTTTTCTGAGCGCACACATCCGAAGCACACGCACAGAAAGCGGCTGTCACAGCATGTGAGTACTAAACTAAGTTCTCATTCACACACAAGTTTACGTTAAAAACACACATGAGTTACAAAAACAGTCGGTTATGTCTGTGAAGGTAAACAGCTGGGAAATAAATCGCTTGTTTATTTTAGATCTGTGTGGTAGCAGCAATATACATTAAATAAATCAATAAATCCACTGTTCTGTTGTTTTCTGAGGCTGGGACTCTAAATAGTGTTCTGTGCTCCTGTGTTTCGTCATTGGCATTAGAACTGGTTCACCGTTGTCGCTTGCGAAATCAAATGACGACGCAGTGGGTGTAAACTTACAGATTAAGGGGCGGTAATATTATAATGAGATCCCTTTGCCACGTCACCAAGGGAGCAAAATCAGACGCGCTTCTGTGGAGTAATTTAAAATGCCTCGGACCATACTGATTTAAATTTGATGATTATGGAAGTTCATTAATTCTCAAGCAGATTAACATGCCTAAAATAGAGCTCTGTGTCTTACTAAATGCTTTGGGGTCTGGAGAGAGGGGAAAGCAGCTGTGTCGAGCTCATGGTGCCCAGAGGATGTACAAGGCTGCTCAATGAGATGACAACTTGTGTGAGGAGTAGTTTATTTTATATAAGCGTCAGTATAAACCCACTAATTCACATGCCGGCAAATGGAAACTTTCTAGTAAGTTTACATCAATACTGTGAGTGCTGGACATATAAAGATGACCTGTTGACAGTGCCATTTATACAGGTGGCCGTTAATGGTAATAAGAGGGGTCGAGCCATGTTTTACTTCGGGTAAACGGACCCCCCATACAGATACAATCAGGACTGTTAAATCAGACAAGGCTGGGTGAGAGCCAAGAGATCATTCATTAGAAATGCTTTAGGGCGCCATTAATTATCCTTCCAAAGTAAAGTTCAAATAAACAACAAGCCGAGTTATAAAGAGAGATAAATTGCTGGACAGTACAGGCCAAAGTGAACTCACACATACATGCACACTCTCAAATTCGGTTACGAAACCTAGTGAGCGGTCTTGCCCTACATAGCCAGTTGCCTTCGAAGGCAACATCCCAACTGAAATAAAATGGTTTGGAATATAGACAACAATTCTGTGTGTCATACAAACAGAAATTCATGAAAGATTCGACTCCGACAGAGCATAAAATGTTGGGTGAAGTAGTCCATTTTAATTAGACTGAACTATTTTTGTCAATAGTTAAAAAGTAACTTATATATAGAAATAGATTATTCCCAGTTCTACTGTACGTTAAAACACAGAGGCTTGTATTACTTGTCATTACTTTGTCACCTGAACTCCAATAATGTTTATATGAAATATTAAACCAAAGACTTTTATACATATCGCATGGTAGGCTTAACTAGTGATGCATCAACATCCTTTTTAAATGAAACATGGAAACAGAAATGAAAGTTTCTTTAATAAAAAAATTTCAAGTTTATATTGTATATTTAATAAAAATATTATCAAATATTTAAAAATATATGTAACAATATTGATCTATAAATTTATAATACATTAATATATTACACATTTTTTTATATATATATATTCTTTGGTAAAATATTAACATTTAATTAAATAGGAATTTTAGAAGGCAGCATGATTGTACTAACCTTTAGTGCAGTGATGAATGCATATTGAAATGCTGCCTATGTAGGCAACTCACTAGGTTTTGGAACAGAACCCCATGCTCACGGAGAACCCACACTCTCAACAATGTTTTACTTACAGTTTTCTGTCAAGCTTGGTAAGGAATCCCTGCTTGTCGCATTCTAAAGAGAGAAGAAACACAAGAAATCAACAGAGTTTATGTCCCTAAAAGAGAAAGAAGAGAGATGCAGTGTGTTATCGTCACTGTGCCAACAGGAAGGGATGGAAATATTTCAGCAGAAAAGTATATCTGTTGTTGAGAGCGCAGGTTATAAAGAAAGAGATTATTATTGTAGTTACACGGAAGGAAATGTGAGAGGCTGATTACTGTGTATAGACCAAACTAACCAAAATTAAATATGGCTGTTCAGTAAAATGCCATTCGATGGCTACCAGCATTGACTCTGAACAGCCAGGAAGGAAAATACTGAAATATAGTCTATGCAAAAAAAAAAGAAAATACAAACACTGCAGAGTACAAGTGATTACACAATGCAAGTATAGCTTTCTCACTTTAGTGAATTATTCATTTTAAAGTAATCTTGATGGGAATGATGAATGTGTTTATAATCATCTACCTATAGCTAACTACATGAGGAATGTGTGCTTGCAATGCATTAGTCAAGCATTTGCATATTTTTGGCTAAACATTTCACAAACTTTAGATGAAACTATGTACAGTTGCAATATGGACATGAAATACTGATTGGTGTAAGAATAAAAAAAATTAGAAAAAAGGGATATGACTAGCACAGCTAAGTGAGTTAATTATATAGCTTAGCTATAAAATATAGAAGAGTATTTGACTAAAGATTGATAAGGATGACATGAACACACATCATTATGCAAGCTGATAAAATGAATAAAGATTAAATATGACGTTTATGAAACCATAAAAAGAGGACTGGCTGCTACCAAGTAAGATCAACAAATATATTATTGTTCTAAGTGCCAGGCAACATTAGACTGCATAGTTCACTGAACCAGGTAATAAAGTTTTAGAACCCATGAAGTCTGATTTTATAAGAGTGAAGTGATGTTACATGTTTAACACAGAAGGCTATTACAGAGATTTGTTACTTCCGGACAAAAGAAAACTGATAAAAATACAAAGAAAGAACCCTTAAAAATAGGTCAAGACATTTTTGATAAAATAAGCGGAATACTTAATAACCTGAGAGAAGAAAGATAGATAGATAGATAGATAGATAGATAGATCTATGAAAAAGAACAAAAGAAAGAAAGAACAAAAAAATGATCCAATGAAAAAAGGATGAACGAAAGAAAGATTCAACAATAGAAAGAAAGAAAAGAACAAATAAACTAAAAAAATAACAAAATAAAGAACAAACAAGCAAACAAACGAAAGAAAGAAAAAACTAATTAAAGAAACAAAAACAAAAGCAACAATTAAAGCACTACTTTAAAACAACAACTGAACAAAAAAGAATGAATGAAAGAAACAGAAAGAATGAAAGAACAAAGAGAACAAATAAAAAAGAAATGAAAGAAAGAACAAACAAAAGAAAGAAAGAAAGAAAAACTAAAACAAGAGTGAACAAATGAGAGAAACAAAGATAGAACTAACAAACGAACAAACAGGGAAGAAAGAAAGAAAGAAAGAAAGAAAGAAAGAAAGAAAGAAAGGAAAAGAAAAAAGAAAAGAGAAATAAGTATA